TCTGGGGTGGGGAGTGGCCGAAGGTGGGGGGGTTATGGGGCTTCCTGAGTCCCCATGGGTGACACAGCTCCCATGACTGCAAGCATAGCCCTGTGTGTGCGTGTGTGTGTGTTGCACATCCATACACACACGTGGGTACCTGGTACAGCCCATCCAGTGTGTCATTTGCCCTTCTTGTCTCTACCCCTGTTGGGGGCCGAGGGCTTGGCTGAGGTCAGGGGACTTCAGGCCTCCCGGCTGCCCCTCGGGCTAGGACTCGGAACACCGACCGCCACCAGAGGGCGCTGCCCCTCGGCCCGCTGCCTGCTCTTGTGCGGGAGCCGAGGAGTTGAAAAACTCCCACGAATTATCTTAAAACCAGAGGGCGAGCAGCCCGGCTCATTTCCGGCAGTTCCTGCCCTCCTGCGTTTAATGACAGGCCTTCTCCCGCTCAGCCCCTAGCCTGTGGATACCCTAAAGGGGTGTAAAACTCAACAGTCACTCACGGAGATAAAACCCCCTCTAAAAGTTCTCGGTTCTGAAGCTTCTTTATGGCTCCTGATGGGAGTGTTTCTGGAAGGCTATTTGGGGAAATGAAATGGTCCATTTGTCCCCTTGTAAGGCTGAGCTGAGCCCAGGGGCCCCTGCGCTCCTGGCTGTGCAGTGGAGCAGTAGCTGGAGACAGGTGCCTTGCCTGGCATGGACCGCAGGCGCCGAGGGGGCGTGGTGGGATGCTCTGGGGAACCGGCAGCCCAGCCAGGACCCCCTGCACGAACTCACAGCCGCTCAGGGGCCAGCCCAGGAGGTATAATCACAGCAAGAAGATGCCACCAGGGACCCGGTAGGGTGCAGATGCAGGGGGCTGGCCCCGTTCCTCCTCCTGGTCTTGGCACTGACAGCCAGCCCCAGGTGGACCAGACGACTTCTCCCGCGGTTCTCCTGGCCAGAGGGGCAAGCCCGAGGGGGCTGATACACTCGCTCCGAGGCTTCACCTCTGCCTCATACCCACTGGGCAGGACTGGCCTGATGGAGGAGGTGGCCACTGGACACAGGGAAATGGGACTCCACTCTTGACTTCTGGGGTCCAAAGGTATGTTTGCGTGTAGGGGCTGCCATGTGCCAGTAGCACAGACAGGGTGGTCAAGGCGCACACATGTGCTTTCTCTTGGTGGTCTGAGGTCAAGGTGTCGACAGGGTTGGCTTCTTCCAGGGCCTCTCTCCTTGGCTTGTGGTTGGATCTTCTCCCTGTGTCTCCCTGCGATCTCTCCCTCCCTCCTCGGTGTGTGTCCCTTCTTACAAGGACACCGGTCAGAAGGGGCAGGGGCCCACTCTGATGACCTCGTTTTCCATTAGTAATCTCTTTAAAGACCCTCACTCCAAATATGGTCCCATTCGGAGGGAATTAGGCTCTCAACGTGGACTTGGGAGAGTGGGGGTGCTCAGATCATCCCAGGACAGAGAGCACTAATAAAGGGAGGAGATGAGACCTGGAGGAGGAGAAGAGACTTCCAACCCACACTCCCTCCACCTCTGAAACCGAAGCTTCCCCTGGCAGAAGGGGGTAGGAGAGGAGACGCAGAGGCCGAGACACCCCTGCAGTGGCTGCCACTTCTCTCTCCTCCACCCCCTCTTCCTCTGCACCTCCATTCCTCCCTGCTTCTCCCCTTCATCCAACACAGGTGCAGGGCAAGGCCTGGAACACTATGAGCTCTGTGGATTGGGGATTGGCCCTCCAGCCTAGGATGCGGCCCCTGCCCCAGGCCCCCAAGATGCTCCAGGAGAAGCACTCTCTTGGCTCCATCACCGGGCCAAGAGAATTCCAGATCTAAGCCTGAGTTTGAGCGTGGAAGCTCTGCTGGTTCCTGGTCATGGGGTTTCAGGCAGGAAACCCGGGGAGACATGTGGAGGCCCTTGCTCTGTTCTTACTGCCCTGTCCTAGCTCAGACCTGCTTTGCCCTTCTTTTCCCCCTCCTCTCTTTCCAAGGCACTCCGCCTTGGAGTCGTGGGTGTTCCTGGGCTCACGGCTGTGCCTCCTGCAGCTCAGACCCTCGTTCCTCTGCTGGGCTTCCTGAAGTGGCTCAGCTCTGTTCTCCTCAGCCTTGGTTCACCCTTAGCGAGCCTTTCGTACTAAGGAAAAACATTGCAGACGTCATCAACCGCATGAATTATTTTGCTATAAATATTACTGTACAACATGCACATTTTTTTTTTTTTTTTTGACAGGCAGAGTGGACAGTGAGAGAGAGAGACAGAGAGAGAAAGGTCTTCCTTTTTGCCGTTGGTTCACCCTCCAATGGCCGCCGCTGCAGCCGGCGCACCGCGCTGATCCTGGCAGGAGCCAGGAGCCAGGTGCTTTTCCTGGTCTCCCATGGGGTGCAGGGCCCAAGCACCTGGGCCATCCTCCACTGCACTCCCTGGCCATAGCAGAGAGCTGGCCTGGAAGAGGGGCAACCGGGACAGAATCCGGCGCCCCAACCGGGACTAGAACCCGGTGTGCCGGCGCCGCTAGATGGAGGATTAGCCTATTGAGCCACGGCGCCGGCTTACAACATGCACATTTAATAACACTGATTGAGTTCCTGCCCTGGGCCTGGCGCGGAGCTGAGTGCCTTTCCCCACTGGTTTGTTTGCTCACAGCCACTTGCCAGAGAAGATGGTGCTATTCCCAGCCACAGATCTTCCAAAGGAGATTGAAATGCCCCGTGTTGGTAGCTTTTATAGAACTATAAAATCCAGCCGCATTTACAAATTAAATACAAACAAAATGATAAAACCAATACAATTGAGAACAGCTACGTTTATTTAATGGAAAGGATGATGTCGTTTTGCTGAAATGAAGCCACAACCTGCAACACGAATCTGGCGCTGGTGAACATGACCCAAGTTCTTTCTCGATTGGGGCCCGAGGACTTGGGCCATCTTCTGCTGCTTTCCCAGGCATGTTAGCAGGGAGCCGGATTGGAAGTGGAACAGCCGAGACTTGAACCTGCACCCATATGGGATACTGGCACTGCAGACGGCAGCTTAACCTGCTATGCCACAGCACTGGCCCCCTTAGATGGACTTTCAAAAAACAATTAAAAATCACCAAAAGGGTCTGTAGGCCCCTCTAGGTCTCAGTTTGAGAAATCCCAGGGTCTGCCCAAAGACGGGCTCCAGGGGGTGATGGCAGAACATCACCATGGAGTCACACAAGCCCCAAGGGCAGAGGGAGTGAGCGCCACTCACACACTGAGTGACTGCAGGATGGAGACCTTATTCCTCTGGGGATTATTCCCAAGATGGTGGTGGGGGCAGATTGACCTTGTCAGTGTTGGGGGCTCACAACTGGAAGGTCAGGAAGCGGGGTGGCAGGTGCCTAGGACCACCTCTCATGGCTCAGGTGTCTGCGTGGGGAGTAGGGACCCCTTTCTGGGTGCCCTCTTTTGTGACGACAAGGAGGAGGTAGATGGGCCTCGTCCCAGCTCTGCTGTTTTACCCAAAGAGTGAGGATCTTGAATGACGGCTCCTACAGAATGCTCAGCTGGGCCAGGGTCCCTGGATGGTGCTCACAGGCTGCGGGTGCTCAGTCTTCCCCCAGGGGCCTTCCTTTGCCTGGGACAGGACTCCCCAGCCAGACAGGTCTCAGGCATGTCTCTGGAGTCCAGGGGAAATGGCTGTGGGTACTCAGACTGGCATCTGTGCCTGGAAAAGTCACCTTCTGAGATTCCTTGTGCAGGAGCGGGTGGCATTGTCCCTCTGCAGGGCTTGGGGACAGAGAGGAGCTGTAAGCCCGCATTGCTGTGTCGGCTGGGAGGGGCCCTTGAAGAGAAATAAGATATCTGCAGTGGGTAGGGGATGTGTAAGATGGGGCCCTGGTGGTGAGTGCTGTCCAGAGTCAGCTGGGTCCAGATGGGGCTCTTGTGTTCACAGTGGGGAGCACTGCTTGCCCATTTTCATCTTTCTTGATTTCTGGGGGGCTGCAGCTACACCTGGAACAAGGGCCTGCAGAGGGAGTCCAGCTCACTCCCATCTCAGCTCCCCAGCCTCTGAAGCTTAGGTGCATGGAGTCCTGTATGTGTCCGGTACTGGGTCCATGTGTTTGTCAGATGAATGTGAGGTGGGTTTGATGGGAGGTTGGATGTACAGGGGAATAGAGGCAGGACAGGGCTTGGAGGAAAGGCTCATGTCAAGGTTGATGCAGAGATAGGCGCCTAGGGGCCCGTCTGCTGCAGGCGTGGTGAGGATGGTCTCCACGTCCTCAAAGGCACCTGGCACCCCCTCCTCTTTCTTCAGGAAGTGTCTGCTCCAACCACAGCTGGGAAAGTTTTCTTCTGGTGCCTAGTTGCCTTCTATCCATCTGCCCATCCATTCTCCATCCATCCATCCATCCATCCATCCATCCAAACATCTATCCAGTATCCTAACATCTTTCCATCTAGACATTCATCCATCCATCCGGTGAGAAGCTGCAGAACAGGGTCCTCCAACCATCCCAACTGCCCTCTTTCTTGGGGGTGTATGTGAGACACAATTCAGAGCAGTTTCTGACCCTGGAGCTGGCAAGACCCCAGGTAAGCTTGGTGACTCCATGCCAGTGTAACAAATTTACCGTCCTTCCTGCTTGATAATTAACAGCCTTGCAGCCTGCTCCTGGAGCAGGTGCAAGAGATTTGGGGAATATTTTGATCTGCAATCCAGCAGCACAGAGGCAGGAGTGGCATGGCGAGGCTGGGCTGCAATTGACGTATTTATTGTGTGAAGTTGACCGTCCAGACCAGGGAGCTCTGTTCGTCACTTCAGATGGATAGCGAATCACTCTCTGTTTTTATTATTTCAATTCCTGTCTTTCATGGGGTGGTGGTGAATTAGCTCAGTGCCATTTTCTAAAATATCAAGCATTTTTATACATTAGGTACAGTGAATGGCAAGTCCTTGATGTAAAGTCTGCAGTTTTACTCCATAACCAGATTGTAAAATATGAACTGAATTAATCATAACTGCGAAGACTAATGGTACGTTTTCTCTTATTTTATCTTTAGTGCCGTTCAGATCATGTTTTAAAACCTTCCACGTCTGGTGTTGGGAACGCAGCCGCGGCTTGGTGGTGGATAGCAAGAGGCAAAGGTCAGACCCGAGGCTGCACAGATATTGTGTGTTGGATTTATTGTTTTAATTAAGAGCGTGGCAGTTCATCATAAACTGTTTATGGCGTTTCTGCACAGTGCAGCATTTTGAAATCAGCTGTTTTAATGAAAACATAATGTCATATCTGTCAAAGTTCTAAATATTTTGAAAGTGAAATATGGAAACAAGAACTTTAATTCTAGGTTTACTGAAATTAGCTCATTGAATTGCTTTTAAATCCCTTAAGAGGGTCACATCATGGGGTACTGCATGGCTTCCTGTAGGTGACTGGGGAAAAAAAATTCCAGGAGGTTCTCCAGCTGGTTATTTAATAGTGAAAATACAAGTTGAAGGTTAATGTATCGAAAAACAAAACCATTATGGTTGGCGTTGGGGCTTTAGATTAAAGATGCAATAATGGGTGTGCAGGGGTCTGGATGCCGAGTTGTGTGGGGAGGCCTAATTGTGTCGAGAGGGAGCCGAGACCCTCGGAGGGCGGCAGAGAAATGGAGCCACCCCCTTGTCCCCTGGCCGTCATGAAGCCTCCCCGTCACCGCCGCTGCAGCTAATTATTTATAATGACCTCAAAGATGCCGGCGTGTCGCAGACTTTTCAGGCTGAGCAGTTTGCAGGCCTGGTAATTCTCGCTCATGGTCGCTGGGCATCTGTGGAGACATGTCAGCCCTTTTGGGTTGCATTTGTTAGGGAGTTGGATAAAATATTTGTCTAATCTGGAGATTGTATTTTTAGCTGTGTACTCTCATTGGAAGCAGAAATTAAGCTTGTCATTAGCTGCTGGGCCACACGAGTTGACTGAACAGGGTAATGTATGTTGGATTCTGTGCTGTACTTGGTCAAGTTTCATATATATCGTATTCCGCATTATTTTATTAACTTTAATATCTGCACTTCCTATTGCCAGACATGCCCCTCATTCAAAGCACAGAGGCACAGCTCTCTAATCAGAAGTGACAGGCTATATACTTCCTCTCAGCCATTACTCGGTAGCCTAGAGCAAAGAACTCTGTTTCCTTGAAAATGTTTTGAATTGGGTTATTTTTATTGAAGTATTAAAGTAATTCTTCAGATTTTAGGCTATTATTTAAGTACTTTTGGGAGAATACAATAACCTCCGGATTCTATAGGCTTTGTTACTTTAACAGTCCGCACCACTAAATGCATCTTTTTTAATGCTGGTTATATAAGTGTCTCGGAATGCAGCTGACCAGCGGAAGCTCAGAGCGTTCAGGTAATTATAGAAAATTAGGAGGCTAAATGAGTTTAGGAAAGCACAAAAGTGTGATATCCTAACTGCTCGCAAAATAGGGGACCCGCTTGCAGGATTTGTCTGTGACAAATTAGCACCTCCAGTGATTTTTATTTTTGTGTTTTTGTAATTTGGTGGAACTAACCCACAGGCTGGTCAAGAAAGGTGACCGGACATTGGTGGGCAGACACAGAATGAAGCCAAGGGTTCAGTCCTTCTGCCAGGGCCACGTACTATTGTGTGGGAGGAGGTGGCATTGGCAAAGGCTGGACCTGGGCTTGTGTGTGCTGGACAGGAGAGTCCATGCTTCCGGGGGACACGATGTGAGCCAGGAGGAGGATCATCTGGGCTCCTCTCTGGAGATGGCTCCGTTTTATCAACAAAAAGTTGTAAAGAGGAAGCTCTCCCAGGCCCACCCTGTTCTACCTTGTCCGTGATTCCTCCACAGGCGCCGTCCAACCCTGCTTTGGATGCCCAGGAGTGAGTGTGGTTCCGGAAGCTGGCATCAGAGAACTAGACTTCACTGAGCACCCAGTCCTTACCACGCCACAGCCCTGCTCAGGCCAAGTGTGCAAATGGCAGAGCTGGGGTTGGAACCCAAGCTCCAAGGCCCCATCCCTCTGCCCTGCTGTGCCAGCCCTCTGCCTCATGTGGACCCAGAGAGAAAGCTTTCATCTCATTCTTTTCCTTTGCCCAAGCCTCCTTTACCCAAACTCCTGGGTTTATTTGCAGCTGGTTATTCCTAACGTGATCCAGTGATGATCAGGGGTCAAGAAATTTTTAGGAAGAGTAGTTTGCAATGCACGGCTAACAAGAGTGCAAGAAAAATTAGCATCACGGTATTAGGAAGATGGCTGGACCCTGTGGCTCTGACATAGATCCATCAGAATTGACTTTAGGTGAGGAGTAGGATCCATTATGTGCTAAGTGCAAATCCACGCACATGCTAGGGAATCCCAGCTACCAGTGTCCTGGCATAGAACTGGACTCCATTGCAACCATGTAGCTAAGAAGGCAAGAACTGGTGGACATAAAGTACGGAGGTGCACAGCACTAGCAGGGATGGTAAAGAAACAGGGATTTTGATTATTTGTTTATTTTATTTGAAAAGGAAAAAGAGAGAGAAGAGAGATATGGGGTGGGGGAAAGAAGAGAGAGAGAGAGAGAGAGAGAGAGAGAGAGGGAGAAAGAGAGAAAGAGAGAGAGAGAGAGAGAGAAAATGAGAGAGAGAAAGTGAGAGTGAGAGCGAGACAGTGTGAACTGCTGGCTCACTCCCCAAGTGCCCGCAACAGCCAGGGCTGGGCCAGGCTGACGTCAGGAGCCCAGAACTCAGTCTGGTTCTCCCACATGGGTGGTGGGAATTCAAGTCCTGGAACCCTCATTTGCTGCCTCCCAGGGTGTACATTAGCAGGAAAGCGGGAATTTGGAGTGGAGTCAGGATTCAAACCCAGGCACTCTGGGTGTGGGATGCGGGCATCCCAGTGGTATCTTAACTACTGAGCCAAATGACCACCCCAGCAGCCATGAATCTGAAGAGCACTGCAAACAAAAGTGATTTCCAGGGCCGGTGCTGTGGCGTAGCAGGCTAAGCCTCTGCAGCGCCGCTATCCCATATGGGCACTAGTTCGTGTCCTGGCTGCTCCTTTTCCGATCCAGCTCTCTGCTAATGCTTCTGGGAAAGCAGTGGAACATGGATCAAGGGCTCGGGCCTCTGCATTTGCTTAGGAGACCCAGAAGAAGCTCCTGGCTCCTGGCTTTGGATCAGCCCAGCTCCAGTCTTTGCGGCCATTTGGGGAGTAAACCAGCAGATGGAAGACCTCTCTCTCTGTCTGTAACTCACCTCTACCTCTCAAATAAATAAATAAATAAAATCTTTTTAAAAAAAGTGATTTCCAGAACAATCAGCCAGACATCAGAGAGACCTGGAGGAGTGTCACCATTTGGTGAATTCTCTAGATGCTCCAATTCCAGCCATTGAAGAAGGACATCCCTGTTCCAGCTTGCTGACAGCCTGGCCAAAGAGTGACTATGGTTACCACCAACCCCTATGTGAGCGCTAACAACACACAGTTCGCAAATACATAAAGTCTTGGATCTTCCCGGTAGCCTTGGCGTTGTCACCCCCATTCGGCAGAGGAAGAAACTGAGTGCCCTCATCACTTAGCCCAAGAAACCCAGCTGAAGCCCCGCTTAGTTGTAAATACAGAGAGGAATCACCTTTCTAAAATCTCATGGAGAAATAGAATTAAGTGGTAAATTAATTTTGGTGTAAAAACTTGACATCCCTGCATAGTTCTTTTTCTTTTTAAAGATTATTTATTTATTTATTTATTTGACAGGTGAGTTATAGACAGTGAGAGAGACAGAGAGAAAGGTCTTCCTTCCGTTGGTTCACCCCCCAAATGGCCACTGCGGCTGGTGCTGTGCCGATCCGAAGCCAGGAACCAGGTGCCTCCTCCTGGTCTCCCATGCGGGTGCAGGGCCCAAGGACCTGGGTCACCCTCCACTGCACTCCCAGGCCACAGCAGAGAGCTGGACTGGAAGAGGAGCAACCGGGACTAGAACTCGGCGCCCATATAGGATACCTGCGCCGCAGGCGGAGGATTAGCCAAGTGAGCCACGGTGCTGGGCCCAGTTCTTTTTCGTAATATGCATTTCCACGGGTTTTTTTTTTTGAAGACCCCTCATCTACATCAGGCCATGTAGGAAGGTGTTTACAGGGTCCTATAGTTTGTATTGTGTTTAGGGGTTGCCTGCCTTTTCAATGAGGCTGTGTGGTTACTGACGCTCGTGCCACAATCTGTCACCTGCAGCAGAGATGGGGACATTCTCCCAATGTTCCCTCTGTTCTCCCAAATCCCTCAACTCTGAGGGTTAGCTCTGTGATGACTGACTTTCTGTGAAGTCATTTGTGATCTTTGCATTAGGGATGCAAATTATAAGGTTTGCATAGGGCTGGCTCCTCTTCGCTAAAGTTGACGGTAACAAGTGGTTCGAGTTTTCACTGCAGGGTGATTTATAATTCTCTGGGCTGCCACCCACTCCTACTCAGGACAGGGGAGGGGTCTCCCTGGACCCTGCCTAGCTTGTAGAAGTAGAGCTTGTTCTGGAGGGCAGCTCACTCCTCACACGGACCCTCCCCCTTCCCCATCCCTTCTAGCGGGGAATAATCAGTCATCAAGAGAGGGGATTAAAAAATAGATTTATTGCTATTTCTAAAAGTCAGTACTGGAGGATGAGTAAACACAACAACAGATGTATAAGAACGTTAAGTAGAAACACTATTTTACAATAACATGTACCGAAACACATTTATGTACTGGAAACTATGAAAAATAGCTCTCTTTAAATGATTTAGCATTTGTTCTCTCTTATATACAGATCAGCTTCCAGCGGGAGAACAAAGATGCTTGGAGCTCTCTTGGCCCTCATGAAAGCCCTTCCTGAAAGCCTTCTGGAATGCTCCACGAAGCAGTTTACGGTCTGGGAGGAAATGGCTTCTCCATGTGCAAGTGCGCTGCCCTATCCTCCACTCTCCCCCACACCTGTGGGATCATTGCTGGGGTTCAAGGAGCCCCACGGCCGGCCGTTGTCAGGGGAGACGGTGGTGGGGAGCAGAGCGTGGTAATGGCATTCCCTTCTGGAGAAAAAACAGTGCAGCCTTCTCACCACAGGACCTGCCTTCTGTGTCCACCACTGCTCCCCGGGGAGGAGGGCTCACCTCCAGAAGGCTCTGGATAACTCATTTCTGCTGGCAATAGGCTGCAAAGCACTGGCATGGGAAACGTGGGTTTTGCAGCGCTGGCCCACTCCCGAGGCCTCCTCGGCAGGCTGTGTGGTTGGCTGGATTGCTGATATGGAAAAGGGATTCTGGGAAGAGGTGCCCGTTCCGTAGCCACACCTGGATGGACTTCTAAGGCCCTGAAAGCAGGTGATGTTTGCAGGGTCTTAAAAACACGGATTGGGTGCAGGGGTTTTGCCTTCAGGTTTTGAAGGACTCGAAGGATGGGGCGGTCTGCAGCCAGCAGAGCAAACCTCTAGAGTGACATCGTGGCCCAGACTTTGGGACGGTGACACAGTGTTCCAGCAGCCTCCCAGGGAAAGCCAGCTGGCCGGCCCATGCCGGTGCACATGGAGGGTGAGTACCTTTTCCTGGAACTGGCTTCTTTTAAATGACATCGGTGTGGCTTGATTTGGGCTCGGGGTGACTGGGTCCAACTCAGGGCTGGGGAGGTAGCTGAGGACTCAGTTTCATTTAGCTTTGATACAAAATGTCTCTTTTCTCTTCTCTTCTGGTCAGGGCTTGCACATCAGAAGTCTGGTTTTTGTGACCCCTCCCCTCATCCTGGTGCAATTAACCAAGCCTTTTTTTTTTTTTTTTTTTTTAAGAAATTGAGCTGACATTGTAGCACAGAGGTTTAAGACCCTGCTTGCAACACTGGCATCCCATATCTGAGCGGGGGGTTCGAGTCCTGGCTGCTCCACTTCCAATCTAGCTCCTTTCTAATGCACCTGGGAAAAGCAGCAGAAGATGACCCAAGTGCTTGGGCCCCTGCGACCCACATGAGAGACCTGGATGAAGCTCCTGGGTCTTGGCATTTGCCTAGCTAAGCCCCAGCTGACCATTTGTGACCATTTGGGGAGGGAACCAATGGATGGAAGACCTCTCTGTCTCTGTCTTTCCCTCTTTTCTATGTAACGCTGACTTTCAAATTTACAAAAAGGAGCAAAGCTTGAAATATGTGGAAAGGAAAAGTAGAACGTGTGAATTGTAATCTTGATTTTGCATATACCGAATCACAAACATGTGTGTGTGTGTGTGGTGTGTGTGTGTGTGCATACAACACACGTGTGATGCCTGAGTGTCACCGTCTGATTTGGAAATCCATGGCAGAAAAATCAGATCCCCTAGGTGCGTGCGCGGTTTTGCCTATGCTGAGTCTCGGGTTGCAGGATTATTGAACGGGTTTCTGTCTCTTTCCCCTCTGCAGCGGCAGAGAGCAACCTCCGTGCTAATGCAATATTAAGGGCTGCATAATTAGCCACCTTAATAAATTTCCCCAAGATGGATAGGCAATGTTTGGCTTTCTCTAGAAGAAAACATTCCTCTAATAGTATTCCGTGGGAAGCTTTGGAGAGAACAATGAACAGAAATATCTGGAAATATATTAAGATATATGTGCATATATTGGACATTAGCACCATACTCTAAGCATATTGGGAATATGCTTCAAAATATTTCAAACATTGTTGACCTTTGTTATATAATCCGAGGCTCGGGGAAACATATTTGCATAGACTTAGCCATATATTGTAAATAACTACATGGGACAGTGTGTATTTTTCCTTAAGATGCAGTATTATAAGCAAGACATTAAATTATGCCTATCAGACAAAGCAGCCGGATCTTTGCAGTTTTTTTTTTATAGCACATTCTATTGGGAAGACATCCCTGCCTCTAAAAAGCACATGCATTAAGTGCCTGATTCATGTGGTGACATGTGGCAGATCCAAATGCGTTATGGATCTCTCAGGAATAAAAACAACACAGCCAAACCATCACCTTGGGATGTTCATTGAGTGAATATTTTACAGACACACGCCTTTTATATTTAGATAATAATTTAGTGTTATGACAATTTTTTTAGCAGAGTTGGCAGTCTTTCTTTTTTATAATGGTATTATATTTGTGAGCCTATTAAGTGCATATGGGATAAACTACAGAAAAAAGTATTTTTCATAATTCCTCAGGGTGCTTCTAGCAAAAAAAAAAATGCACAACACAACCGCCACCAAACATATTGGTTTAGAAAAATGTTAATAAAAGGTCAAGCAGAAGTTTCCAGTGCTTAGCATGATGGCCGTGGCGGTGCCGAGGCCTTGTTGGAATGGAGCAACGAGGAGACGTGGGGACTGCTGGGGCCTCCAGTGGGAGAGCATGACCTTCCTCCACAGGGACTGGGAGTTTTCAGCGAAGAATCAAAGCAGCGAGCAGCTTTTCCCTCCGCCATGAGCCCAGGCAGTGTCTGGTGTGGCCTGGGTCCCCAGGAGCCAGCAGCCCTGGGTATGCAGGAACTCAGACCCTCTGCTAAGGGTCTTTCTGGGGGCTGGGGGAGTGAATGGTGCAAACTTGGGGGGTACTTCTCCCCTTTTCCATCTGGCTCCCCACACCCAGGGGAAAAGACAGGTGCACACGGTGTGTGTGGGGGCGCTGGGTGGAGTCCACCTGCCAAGGAGAAGAGCTAGGCCGAGGCTCCTGCCTGGCTGGGACCCCATCCCCTCCCTGTGCTGAGGCCACCCCTTCCTGTGTCTCTTGCCACTGGGAGACCAGGCAAGGAAAGGGAGAAACTGTATTTCTTAATCTTGTTCTCTGGTTCCTGTCAAAGAACTTATAAAAATGCAAACCACAGAGCATGGCTCCTTGAGGCTTTTTATTTAGCAGTTGTCTGCGTCTTTGCGTGGTTCCGACACCGGGGATGCTGACCGGCTTCCGACGAAATAGAAACGTTCTCTGTAAAGAAGTGGATGCAGAGTGGCTGCCTTGGAATGGACCCAGCTGCACTTCACAGGGGCTGCAACAGCAGCGAAAGCCCACCCTCCCATGGCCCCTGGGCGGTGGCCCTGGAGAGGACAGAGGAGCCAGGGGCAAGCCACATTGTCTCAGGCCCTGCGTCCACTCTGCGTAATTTTTTCACCAAGGACAGCAGAGGCAGGTGGGGCTCCGCCCTGCTGGTGGGTGCAGGGATCAGACTCTTGGGGAGGCCCCCAGACTGGTGGCCGAAGCCTGCCACGGCCCGTGTGAGCAGAGAGCAGGTCTCGGTATTGCCCGCATGGCTGTTTCCCATCAACCCCACATTTCCCACTGGACAAGCGCTAAGCTGGGCGTCAGGCACACAGAGGCTAGTGAAGTTCACAGCCCTGGTCTTGTGGGGCTGGAGACTAAGCCAGCCGTCCCCGCGTGGATATTTTATGACAGCCATAGCAAGTGTGCCGTGAGAGTGGGAAATGGCCAGGTGGTGCCGTGCAAGATTGGAGCCTGTCTTGACTTCAAATTTTGGTAATTTTCCTTGTAGCTGATTTTTAAATGCATGCATTTTGATTTTTTAAAAATATTGTGCTTCTCTTGATTGCTGAAGTTTTAGGTGCTCTACTGAGGTGGGAGCGGTGTGGAATTGGAGACTGGGGGGGTCCCTGACTTTCAGGGTAGTTCACTTTCCTAATTAGCCCCCTGCAACGTACCCTGTCCCCCTCCTGTCCCAGGGATAGGCACCATGTTCTTCCTTCCACACCTCCAGCCGGGTTGTCAGAGGCCAGACCGTGCACATAGGGGCTCACAGGAGGGATTCTGGGCCTGTTCCTGGGCTTGAATTCCCCTCCCTGTCCCCTGTGTGGTTCTCAGGCTCTTAAGCCAGCTCCCCCAGGTCTCGGCCGTGGTCCGGCTCAGGAAGTGCTAATTGAACATTCCTCCAGGGCCACCCTTGCTGAAGGCCCTGCTTGCCAAAGAGTGTAGTCTCCAGACTGGAAAGTTCAAGGCCTGCCTCCCCCTGGACCTCTGCTGTCTGCTCGCTCAGCTCCCAAGGCTCTGCGGGGACTTCCCTCACTGCTGCCTGGGTCTTCTCCCTGCAGATTTCTGCCGAGTTCCCTGGGCTGGGTGCCTCTTTCTTTGCCCTCCCCTTTCTCCCTCTCCCATCCCCTCCTTCTGTTCCTGTGGGTCCTCAGCAGGGCGGGGGTGGCGCAGGCTCTCAGGAAACACCTGCCAATCACCCGCTTCTCCCTTTGGTCCTTGGATCCCTTAAAGGCATAGATTGAGGGACAGCATTCAGGGGTGAAGATGTGGGATAAAATGCATCCCTCTGGGAGGGCATTTGGCACAGTGGTTAAGACGCTCTTCCCACATCCTGGATTGGGGTGCCTGAGTTCGAATCCCAGCTCTGCTTCTGATTCCAGCTTCCTGCTAATGCATGCCCTAGAAGGCAGCAGGTGATGGCTCCAGTACTTGGGTTCCTGTCACTCACGTGTCACCCAGATTGAGTACTGGGCTCTGCTAGCTTCGGCCTTGTCCAACCCTGGCTGTTGTGGGCCTTTGGGGGAGCAAACCAGTGGAAGGAAGGTCTCTGTCTCTTTCAAATAAATAACAATTTAGGAATGTGTCATCTGTCTTTGGCAAGACTGCATGCCAAAAAGGTGTCTGAGGGGGCATCTGTGGCAGGGGCAGGTCAGTCCCTTAACTTGCCCTAGGGGTCTGCCTTTGACAAAGGCAGGGCTTGCTGTTGGGGAGGGGCTTACTTCTGGGGAGCCCTCCTTAATAACAGGGGCAGGTGACACTGACAATTCCTAAGAAGTAGGAAGGGAGCCAGCCCCTCTGTCTGATCCTTTCCTTTCTAGAACATTCCACACTAATCTCGGGGAGTGAGCATGGCTGAGCATCTGCATGGGGACCTGACGTAGGGACCAAATGAGGAGTCTGGGTAGACTGAGTGGGCTTGCCTGCTCCCTGACCTGCACCGGCAAGCAGCCCCTCACCCTTGTGAGACACAGGGAACCCCCAAGGGCTCTGGGGGAGACAGCCCCACCCCGGGGTGCTGTAGGATCTGGAGAGGCGTGTGGGGGACGGGGACTCCCCTGTGGAGCAGGGTGGCAGATGAGCCTCGGGAGAAACTTTGGGGCTGGGGACAGCTGCGTCTCCCACTTTATATGCTCCCCCCAATTTCCTCACACAGGGGGGAGAGGAGGCCCCTGGGACCACAGACCTTTACACGAGGGGCCCCTTTTCCCACCCCTACCCCACAAGCCTTCCCTTTCCTGCAGCGGCAACACCATGGCCTGGCCAGTGTCTGCAGGTGGTGTCTGGGCCCTGCTGAGCCACTGGTCCCTGGGCATCAGCTCTAAGGCTGAAAGGCTATGGGCCAAGAGCACCTGCTTCTGGTACCTTCCTGCTCCTCCGCTGCCCTGGCCAGGAGCTAACTCTGATTTCCCCAAAATACAGCCGAAGGAGCCGTGAGCCTCCTGGCTCCTTGGGGGCTTCGGTGTTGGTTTTGTCCTTGGAGTCTAGGACAAGCCTGGGTGATTAGCACCATCTTACAGGTGGTGCCCAGAGACCTGGCCTTGTCCAACTTTACCTGCCTGCCAGGTGGGTGGTGAGGGCTCTATTTCCAGCCTGCTGCTGGCAGTGGCCCTGCAGGCCGGCCCTGGCAGTGAGAGGTTGTGCTTCTGCCTCCTTAGCACACTGGGGAGTGGCCTACCAAGTGCTCGGTCGTGGGGGCAGAAGTCACCCGGACTCCTGCAGCCGATGCTCAGTGGGAAATCAGTGACAGCCTCGGAGGTCTGCCCAGAAACGTTGCTCGGAGACAAGCCCTCGGGTTGTGTCTGCTCACCTTTTCTGGGCTCCCCTGCACCTTCCTAGATTTAGCAAACCCTTGCTGCGTGCCCACCCAGTGCCAGGCATAGTACAAAGGGCCAGGGTAGAGCAGAGGAGTTCCAGTGCGAGGTGAGATGCTGATGGATGCCCCCGTGTGCTCTCACGACATCCTCGTGCAGAAGTGGTCAGAGTAGGGCAGGGGAGGGAGTGTTCCAGAACCTTCTGAGTTGATGCCGTGGCTGCCTTGGTGTGGGGAGGGGGTCCCTGGGCCAGCTGCTTTGCCATGGTGGTCTGGGGGGTGGTGTCAGAGACTTGATGGCAGGAAGGTATCTTTGGTCAGCTCTGGGTGTCCCATCCTACAGATCTTTCCCAGGATCACACGGCAGGTCCTGGGTGAGTTGCAGTGGCAGCGCTGTGCACAGGGTCCTGCTATGGGGTTACTCTCCTCTTATGCACCTCACTCAGGACAGATAGATGCTCTGTTAGTGGCTAGACAGAAGCCCAGCCTGGAGTCCCAGCTAACCGCGTCCACACAGGTACCTCCTTCTCTGGTACCTTAAACCAGATGGTGCACCTGGCCATCAGGACACCGGCTGACCCCTCGAGTAGACTTGCACAGATGGTCCCTGTCCTGAGCGTTCTCTCCTCCAGCAAGCAGAGATGGGCAGGAAGCATGGAAGCCACAAATTCACGTCTTAGATCTTTGACCCAGGGTCTGAGCGCCTGGAAGGCAAGGACCCAGATCCGGTTTCCCCAGCTTCCGCCCGCTCCAGGAGTGTCTGCGGTTATAAAGGAGCAGCTTCCCCAAGGGAGGGGCTGGGGCAGAAGCCAGTCTCTTCAGAACCTGGGGAGCAGGGTGCCAAGCGATGGGTGTAGGGAGTGAGGAGAGGCAAAGACATTGGTAAGACATTGACGTGGAGAGCTGTAACCGATGCCTCCATCCTCCAAGACTGATTTTAAAGAGGAAAGTCAGAGATTTTCATGGAAGGGATGGTAATGATTTTAAGACGAGTGAGTAAGGAACTGTCTCGTTTCACCCCATTCAAGACGGCGGGCCTACGTTAGAGCATGGCAGGACATCCACCCTGGAAAAGACATCCGTGAACTCTGGCCCCCGAAATGAAAGACCCCAGGTGAGACCCGGTGTGTTTTGCGCTTCCTCCCTGCCGTAACCTGGGGCACTGGGTACAGGAAAGCTCGGACCCATCTGTGGCAGAGAAGTGTGATTTCTGTGCTGGCGTTGTCACCAGTGGACACGCAGGCTCTTGTACGTCCTAAATGAGCACCGTGATCCAATGGGAGCCTCTCCTTTGATTGTTAAGACACCTGCTGTGTTAACTTTTTGGCCGGGCTCAGGCCAGTTCATGAAATGATTTTTGGGCCAGGGAGGGATGGAAAATGCCTCATCCTGCCATCCGGTGGCTTCTGCCGCCACTCTCTCTCTCCAGGAACACGTGGATTGACCGGGGGAGGCGGTGCCCGCACATCCCTGTCGGTCAAAGGCTCTGGAGAAGAAATGCATGAGGACCTCAGTCCCCGGTGTCCTGCGGCTGCTTGTTCAGCTAGCAGGTGCCAACAGCCAAGGCTGCCAGCTGTCCACGGGCCAGGCCCAGGACATGCCGTGGCCTCCTGCCCTGGGCCTCTCGGCTCTGCTCTCCACCAGGAGCAGATGGCATCCTGGGAAGACAAAGTTGACCCACACGGCTCTGTTGCACAGAGTCCTCCCAGAACCCCCACTGCACCCAGGAGAAGAACCCCGCTGGGTCCCGAGGGCTCCCCAGGGTTTCCTGCCCTGATGCCGCCAGCTCTCTTGCCTTCTGGCTCAGAGACATCCTGGCTGTTGACGTCGACACCAAGGCCTCCGCCCTCGCTGTAGAGGGAGCTGCAGGTGACCCGCTGCTCCCTTCTCTCAGGTCTCCTCTCTCTGTCACCTCCTCAGAGGGGCCCTCCCTGAAGCTCTCCTGAGATAGCTCCCTCTTCTAGCCGGTCCACACCCCATCCCTACCCCGCCTTGCTCTCCTTCCCAGCAGGTGTCACGGCATCTTCCCAGACACCCCTTCATCTGTCCCCTGAACCCCAGGACAGGTCGGCTCTGCCGGAGCAGACTTTGTCTTGTTTACCGCTGCTGCTAGGCTTCTAGAATGTTCTTTGTTCTGGGAGCATTTGATGAATAAATAAATGAATGAGCCGACGCGCTCTTGCACCACTGGTGGCAGTGTAAGTCAGTACGACATTTCTAGAAAACCACTAAAAGCAATTTTTCTCATTAACAATTGATAAGAAATTGTTCAGTGCAGAAAAAAATACTGATCAGCAAAAAGGATATTAAAAATTATTTGAATCCCACTGCCATTCCTATGGTTTAGAGGAATCATATGGTCCTTTTTCTATGTGTATAGGAAGCATGGTGACATTGTATATAAATTGCTTTATCTACAGAAGAGCATATGATGAAAAATCCTTAAATGTTATTAAGGACATTTCTATGACATTACTTGGGTGGACTCTATTGTATTATCTATTGTATTATGTCTATCTAGCTATGATTGATGCATAGATATAAAAAAGCTATATAGTATGCATCTGTTTCTAGCTTACTTTATATATGCATATTTATTTGTATATATTATATATGTATATTTCATGTATGCATATACATATACATGTGTTATATATGTAAAATCTCTATATAGTATGTATATGTATATCTATCTAGCTTATTTTATATGTATTTACATATGTACATATTTTGTATGTTTTATATATGTATATTTCATATATACATATATATGCCTGTATATATACATAGAATCTTCTAGTCTGCCATTGTTGGTCCTTTGATTTTGTTTCCCATTTGCAATGAAGAGCCTCAAGCTGAATCTTTATATCCATTTGTGACTGTTTCTTTTAGAAGCAGACTCTTGGTGTCATGCATTTGTAAGGATTTTTGCTAATATTGCCAAACTGCCCTCCAGAAAGGTTACCTAATTTATGCTATCACCAGTGGTGTTGAAAGAGTTTATATTTCTAGGCTCCTTGACAACAGTCTATTCTTATCATTGTTTCTGTCTTCACCAATATAGGGGCACAAATGATCTCTCATTTCTCTCTTAATTTGCATGCCTTTGATTACTAATAAGGTTGAACGTCTTTTATGTTTATTTATCATTTGTGTTTATTCTTTCGTGGATAACTATTCATGTCCTCAGTCTTTTTTTTCCCCTACTGAAATATCTGCCTGTTATTCATTGGCAAGAAGGTTTCATCTGCTAGGGGCATTAACCTTCTCTCTGGAATATACGTTGAAAAGATGGTCCCCTGGCTTGGGTTTGAGTTCACCTTTCAATTTCAGAATTACATTCTTCCTCTACGGGTGCTTTAAATGCGGGGCACTCAAACCCAGAGCCCTTTTTTCTCTCTAGTGTCTGCCTCTGGAATTGGGATTAGAAAGAGCTTCCCTAGTACTGGTTATGTAAATGGTACCTTTATGTTTCACTTGAACATTGAAATCTCTGGATCCTCCAGGCTTTGTCTTCATATGTGCCATAAGGCAGGGCGCCAAGTTCATTTTCTGAGTGATAGGCAGATTGTATCTATATGTTCAGTGGTCGGCCATTCTTTCCCCAGCGAGCTACAAGACCCCGTGCTAACATATACATGTCTGGGTGTTGGCGTCTGGTTCTGCACTCCTATTTGTGTTTCACTATTTCGGTGACTCTCTTTCTGTGACAGATTTTTAACATCTGGCTGAGTAAATCCTCTTCCTCTTGGCTTTTTTTTTTTGTAACAAAGAAACTTCGATTTTTTTTAAACATTTGTCCTCACCAATGAAATCTGAAATCAGTGTGATACACCAACAAAAGGTTTTGATGAAATTGTGGTTGGATTTGCACGGAACTGACAGTGTGAGGCTTGGCAATCTGCCTTCTCTGTACGAGCCAGCGTGGACCTGTGAATCCTGTTTCCTGTTCGCCTGCCATTCCTTGCAATAGTCCCCATATATGTGTTATCTAGAAAACAACGTTATTAAAAGCCTTAAAATATGAATTCCCTTTCGTGTAGTAATTCCACTTGAGTGACTTAAACGTGAACTAAAGTTTTCCAATAGTTACAGCAGCTACAATGATTAAAGCATTAGAAATATTTTTCATTTACCTTATTCTTACTTACTTCAGAATTTCATTTATGGGGGGGGAGAGAGAGAGAGAGAGAGAGAGAGAGAGAGAATGCACGCATCCACTGGGTCACTCCCCAAATGCCTACAAGGTCCAGGGCCGAGCCAGGCTTAAGTCAGGACCCAGAAGCGCCATCCAGGTCTCCCACGCGGGTGCAGAGGCCACAAGACGACTTGTGCCATCATGGCTGCTTTCCAAGGTCTACACTGGCAGGAAGTTGGAGCCAGGAGCAAGGCAGAGCCGCCCATGGAAGTATTATGCAGCCCTTAAAGATATATTGGGAGACTTCCTTAGTCTAAATTCACAGAGCGCATGGGGAAGAGCCTTACATCTGTTTGGGGGGCTCATCGCAGGACACAGGGGCTCCCAGGGAGAGACTGTAGCCACCGGTCGTGGCTCATCCACCTGCAGGGGCGCGCGGGGCCGGCCCGGGGCGGGCGGCGCGCGCAGGTGCAGTCCCGCGCGCAGCCGGAGGGTGGCAGCGTCCGCTCGCGCAGCCGCCCGCTGACCTCCGCTCGCCTCCGCGGCCTCTCGTTCATCACCGACTGCGGGAGCGGAATGAACATATTTACTCGTGTTTGGCTTTCCACTTATAATATCTAGTGGCATGGGAGGGAAATGAAAACAATTGTTCATAGGGGGAATTTATGAGCTTCATCTGGCTGCGTGATTTCCGCCGCCGCCCGGGGACTGCGGTGGCGTTTGCGTGGCGGGCGAGGCGGGGGCGGCTCGTCCGCGCTCCTGGTCCGCGGGGTGGCGGCGGTCACTGCCGCCGAGTCGGACGGCGGCCCCTGCCGCCCTCCTGGGGGCCAGGGTGGTGGCGGCTGCCCCCGGGACCCCCGCCGGGACTCCGGATCCGCCAGAGTCCACGGTTGTCCCCGCGAGTCCTCCTGCCTAGCGCGCCGGGCTCTGCTGACCTCATGACCTATAGGGCGGTCAGGGTGCGGGGCAGGTGCACGGGGCGTGGGCAGGCCCCTCCGAGGATGGCGGCTGGCGAGCCTGGCACCAGGACCCCGAGGGCACGCCCGCCTGCGGGGGCGGTGCAGGAGATGCAGGGGTGGGCGGGGGGCGGCCGCGGAGGACCCGGGCCCGGCCGTGTCTTCAGCGGGGCGCGGGGCGTCGGGTTCCCAGAACGTGCGGCGGGAACGCAGTCGCGGGCAGGGGTCGCCCTGTTCTCCCAGCTCCCCACAGGCTGCAGGCTGTTCCCAGCCGGGTTGCGGCAGGAGGGCCGTTCCCCGAGGGAAGCCAAGCCCTGCGGCCCCCGCGGGCCCCAGGGCACGCAATCCCCGGAGCTCGGGAGCAGCGCGCTGGGGACGCGAGCGCAGGCTCCGACGGGGCGGCGCTGCGGGGCTGCGCCTGTGCCTGGGGCGGCCTGGCCTCTGCACCTGCAGGCTGGCGCTCCTGCTTCCCAGGGGGCCGGGATTTTGTCTCCCTCCTCTCTCCTGGCCCCGTCCCTCCCTTCCTCCCTCCCTCCTTCCTTTCTGGGCTGGGGGTGGGGGAGAATCCCTTGCCCAGGGATTCCACGAGGGCAGTGCCGCTGTGCGTTCTCCTCCGGGCCTCTGTGCCCCTAGGGCCGACACAGGACCTGGTTACCCTGTGAGGGGTGCTGGGAGCGCCTTGCAGGATGTGACCCCCCCCGCCCCAGCCTCTCCCAGGCGGACTGTGGCAGCGGCCAGCAGGTGGGCCTCGTGTGGTGTCACTGACCTTGCAGCGTCCACAGTCCACAGCGTAGGACGCGAGCTGCCCTGGGGTCGGCTCAGCCTCGCTCTGAGAAATACCCAGAGCTGGTTCCTGCCCCACCGGGCCCTCTCTCCGCTCGTTGCGGGTCCCCCAGGCTTTCCCAGTTGTCTTATGGTTAAATAGCTCGGCTGCTTTGTTGCTTACCCGCCATGCTCCAAGACAAGCACAGGGTGGGAGAAAGAACGGTCATTTACGACAAGTTCCTGCCTCTACCTACACGGTTGGTAGTTTCTGTGAAGTCTGGTCAAAGGGACGGCCCTCCCTGAAAAGTGCGTGTGCAGGCGGGCGGTGCCAGCTGCCGGTGGGGGCACGCACAGGTGTGTGCACCTGCAGGCCGCTCGCGAGTGGGCGGGGTGGGGCCAGGCCGCCGCCCTTTCTGCCGCAGGCGTCCGTGTTCCCAGCTCAGCCCAGAGCTGGGCGATTTTCATGGGTTTTCTGCCTTTCTTTGGCTGCTTTGAATATATGACGATGGGAGCACTAAAGAAAGTGAAATGTTTCACTAATTGCATTTGCATTTAAGTTTTAGAATTTCTGCTTTCTTCGAAACTGAACTTCACTTTTAAAATTATTTATGGACTCAATAATGTATGTTTGGGTTATTGAACCCTATCTCGTGGTTCTTCTGAACAGAGTTCTCTCACAGCTAATTATAACGTACAGTATTTTCCCAGCAGTCTTACAATCAAATTATTCAAAATTGCATTTCTTTATTGCATATTGCTAAAACCCAAGACAAGCAAACATCAAGATAATAAACAATTATTTATTGCAAATTATTACCTAATATATAAGATTAACAGCTTGTAACTATTAAGATTAATACATGTGGTAAACTGTATTTATTATACTTATTTTGTAGCAAATATCTTTGTATAAAACATATGTTTATGTATTGCAATTAATGAGAAAAAGTGTAAGATTAACAATTTATGTTGGGTTTTGTTTTTAGATTTATGCACACTGTAAAACTTATTTATTGCACTTATTAAAAGTATTTAATGATGGACTTTTAGATGCTATATTTTTAATGTGCAAATATAAACTAAAGGAGTATTAAATTACAAAATGGAAAATTATAGCCGAAGTCAAAGAATCTAACTATTTTCTGCTATAAATCTGCTTTAAAAAGATTATCACTAGAATTACAGAATCTTTAAATAGTGGCCCTTTATACTACATAATGAGTTTCAGTGAGTTATCCTTTGAAAGGCTTTTTTCATCATTAAAACTAAACTCAACATCTTGCTCTTAAAGATAAATGTAGCTAACAACGTAAACTCCCAATCGTTCCGTTTTACGGCGAGCGGTTGGGCTGACGGTGGACTGAGGGAGAGTGGAGGAGTCCATGGAAGGTGAGGAGGCAGGGCCGCCCCGGGGAAGGACTCAGGCCCGGCCAGCAGTGACCACGTGGCTGAGCAGCTCCGCGAAGCCTGGGCCCCGAGGCAGACCGGCACCTGTGCCACAACGAGGAAGGGGCAGGTACAGCTCTGGCAGCTTCCGTGCCAGAGAAACTGGTGGCATCACTCACACTGGATGAAAGAAATAAAATCAGCCGAGTCGCAGATCTGCTGTGTCCGGCTTTCCTAGGGTTCGGAGGCCGCAGATGCTTTGTCCACTGGAGGGCTGTTCTGGAAGGCAGTCAGATCAGAGGCGCAAAACAGCCCCCTTGGGAAAGCCGCTCATCTTCAAAAGCATCGTAGAACAAAAA